GCTACTGCGATGACCGCCAAGGACCAGGCCAAGGACAAGCAAGTAGCGAAACTCAAGGCCGACGTCCAGCTCTTGCTCAGTCTGGAGCAAGACCGCAGTGACGACGACGACGACGAAGACATGGTGCATGCAGAGGTAACGCCCTGCGCGTACTTGGACCCAAACTACGAAGCGCAGCCTCCAGCGTACATGGACACGGACGACCCTTGGATCAGCGACGGCTACGCAGTCTTGTAGTCGATATAGCATAGGACAGTAAACACTAAGTGAATAATCAAAACAACGTTTGTACTCGTGTTGTGTGTTGCTTGATGTTCTGGTACGCTTCTCAAATCTGGTAGAACCTCTTGAGGGCGTTCTAGTCACGCCTTGCACCTGCGAGCGTCACCTCCGCCATGTGAGTGCCATTGTGTACTCTAAGCGCACACTACCTAAGCTCGTCATTCCACCAATCATCGATCTGATTTACGCAATACCACCGCATGATTGGCTGATCGCCGTGAGCGAATGGGCCGTCGACCCTCACAGCGAGTCAGCAATACATGAGGTCCTTTTAAACTCTTAACGCCCGACCATATATTGAAGGACTCACAGCCCGAATTATAGCGCTTGTTGCAAGAACTACAAAAGCCAAGGTCGTTCATCGCACACCCGTCGCCTGTCGTCACCAGCTTCAAGTTGCGTGGTTTCAGCCAAACCGCAAGTTGGAACGGTTGACGGCGTGGACGTCGGCCGGCGTCATCTCCAACCGGCGCGTGTCGCACCGGCCATTTTGCGTGGACAAGACTGCCGACACGACGATGCCGGAAGCAGCATCGGCAGCCACGTGGGTCAACGCGCTCGGCTTCAGCGGCGGCGTGATCCTCTCGATCTGCACGGTGCCGCAGATCTACTCGATCGTCAAGACCAAGTCGGCCGGCGATGTCTCGATGGTCTTTACCGTCATGTACTTTTTTGGTGTCGCGACGTCGGCGGCCTACATGTTTCTCATCAACGCCTACGCCGCCGCGTGGCCGCTCGCGATCGAAACCATCTTTGGCGCGTCGCTTTGCTTCCTTGTCTACTACTACACGCGCGCGCGCCGGGCGCCGTACGACGTCATCGCATCCTCCCACCACTGCGAGGTCGACATGCAGCGCGAGCTCAAGCTGCTCCAAGCCAGCCTCGAGCTCGCCGTTTGGTTCGAGTCGGCGCTCAGAACCTTGGAGGCCGACATGGGTATTTCCTTGGGCGTATCGCGCCCGCCCTTGTCGCTCACGGTCACATTCAAAGCCCCAAACGCGATGTTTACCCAGCTCTACCCGTTCATGGTCATCCAAGCCGGCCTCGCACGCGTCGCAATTGCGTCGCCGAGTGTCTCGGAGACCGACTTGGCCGCCTTGCTCGCCGAGTGTCGGACCATGGGCAAGCGGTCGTTTGAGGCACCGACGTCGAACCACGTGCAAGGCTCGTACCGTCAGCTCGCCGACTCGGTGTAGAGACGAGTACGTTCTACTAGTATGGTACCAAGGACTTCGATGGCAGTAAGGTTTCAACTCGAAGCAGCATAAAGTTTGATGACGTTATTAGCAAAAAGTTGTGCCAACGAGGATGATGTCGGGCACGACTGCCTTGTCGAGACCGCGGTACTTGAGACCAAAGACCATCGTACGCAGGTCGTAGCCGTAGACCTTGTCGCCGACGTCGACGCTTTTACCGAGATGACTCACAACGTGGTGCCGCGTGTCGTTGACGCCCAAGTCGTTGGCGCTTGCGACTTCCAGCTCGACGACCGCGCCGTCGTATGGCCCCCACTGCTGCCCTGTGTAGTCGATATCCACCGGCTCGGCGTCCAAGACGATGTACGGCTCGCGCTCCATGCGAATGCGGATCGGCGGGTCGCGAAAGTACATGCTCGCTGTCACGATGCCCTCGTCGCCGGTCGACGGGTCGATGAGATGGAGCTGATGGCTCACGCGGGCGACAACGACGACGCGCGGCAAGTTGAGCTTGAGTGCGAGCGCTTTGGAGGCGACCACGAGGTCATACCGCTGCAGTGGACACACCTCGACGAGATGCGTGTGCTGCACAGCCGCGCTGCCGACGGTCCGCGACGTGGTAGTCCGGCACGGGAAGTTTGCATGAAGCTTCGTCACGAGCGTACGGGCGCGCGCTTGGTCGGCAAAGTAAAGGTCGAAGCCCGTGTCGCAGGGCTCGAGCACGAGCACGTCGGCGTCGGCGAGGACGCGATCGAGGACCAGCGCAGCCTGTGGTGTTGAGCTACTGCGGCGGACTTGTACGAGCGCCTTCCATGGCGTGCGAAGATGGCTCGAAGCGTAGTGGGAGAGATGCATCTTGGTGCTAAGAAGCGCAAGTGGAAATGAGGCAGCGTAGCCATCGCTCGGCGAATGCCACGAGGTCCGGCCGGAAGCGCACCGGAACGTTCGGCCACAGCGCGGCTCGTAGGAATGCTGGTCGTTCGAGAGCGTTGGTGGATATGGTCGAGTATCCGGCGACTAATCGAAAGGCTAGTCGGTAGAGCGAAAACCCCGTGAATATTCCGCGATTATCCGGATAAACAATAAAAACCTATGCGTCAAACCGATCTAGTCGAAAACCGACTAGGCGCATCCTGGTTGGCTGGTCATTTTGGACGCCGAACGAGCCCGATGTTTCCACCTCCGCCTGCGGCGCTGAGCCGACGTGTCGTCATCACTGGCCTTGGCGCGGTCACGCCCTTGGGCGTTGGCCTCGAGGCCACGTGGAACCGCCTCATCAACGGCGACTGCGGTATCTCGACCTTGACGTCGTTCGACACGACGGGCCTCGACTGCACGGTGGGCGGCCAAGTCCCGGACTTTGACCCGCTCGAGCACATCAACCGTCGCGAGGCGCGCAGCCAAGACGTGCGGTTCATTTCGTTTGCCATCGCCGCTGCCAACGAAGCCATCAAGGATGCGCAATGGACGCCGGCGTCGGACGCAGCCAAGGAACGTGCGGGTGTGGCGATCGGCGCAGGCATTGGCAACCTTCAGGAGATCGTCGAGACCGCAGCGCTTGTCCAGCAGCAGGTAATGCATCCTCGGATAGTCCACAGCCATTGTGACCATGCTTGTAGAAGTACCGCCGGGTTTCGCCCTTCTTTGTGCCACGTATCTTGATCAACCTGGCTGCGGGGCACGTCAGCATGATGCACGGCCTCAAGGTACATCCATACTACGCTACATACGCGAGAGCAAGCAGCGAACGTAGGGCCCCAATCATGCGTGCACGACGGCCTGCGCCACCGGCAGCCACAGCATTGGCGATGCCTACCGCTTCATTCGCAACGGCGGTACGCCGGTTCCGCATTCTCAGCCTCCGTAGACGAACGTCCATGCGTAGATGCGGATGTGATGGTCGCTGGCGGCTCGGAAGCGAGCTTGAACCCACTCTCGATGTGCGGCTTTCTCCGCGCCAAGGCGCTGGCGACAAAGGTTCTTGTGTATTCCACTGCGGCCGGTATCCCTAATGTACTTGCACTGTAGTTTAATGACAACCCCGAGGCTGCCTCGCGGCCCTTTGACGCGCAGCGCGACGGCTTTGTCATGGGCGAAGGCGCTGGCGTCTGCTTCCTCGAGGTAGCCGTCGCCGGTTCGTGGAAATGGATCGAAACGTGCTTGCGAGTAGGAGTACGAGCACGCCAAGGCGCGCGGGGCGCGCATCTACGGCGAGATCCGCGGCTACGGTCTGAGTGGCGACGCGCATCACTTGACGGCCCCGACAGAGAACGGGGACGGCGCCTTCCGGTAGGCGCAACGCAAGCTCGGATCATGTTGAATGGGACGATCCTAGCGCGATGCAGTCGGCGGTGGCGCAGTCGGGTCTTCAGTTCTCAGACATTGGCTACATCAATGCGCACGCCACGTCGACGCCTCTGGGTGACGCGGCCGAGAACCGCGCGATCAAGCGCCTCTTTGGTATGACTCTGGAAAGCGACTAGCACATTAGCCTCGTATCCATAGGGTCGCACGCATACAACCTCAGCGTCTCGTCGACCAAGGTGCGTTATTGGATCTGACCAGAAATCACATACGAGATGATATAGGGTGCCGTGGGGCACTTGCTGGGCGCGGCGGGCGCCATCGAAGCCATCTTTGCCCTCAAGGCCATGCACGAGGTAGCCATTTATTCCAGGTCGGACTATGGAAACGAGTGCGTTCGAGTAGAGTGTCCTTCCGCCGACGCTCAATTTGCATGAAAAAATCGACGAGTTCGACTTGGATTACGTGCCTCTCGAAGCCAAAGCCCGCACGGTCAACGCTGTCCTCTCCAACTCGTTTGGCTTTGGCGGCACCAACTCGTCGCTCTGCTTTGCCAAGATCTAGAGGTCGGCCATTAAAATGCACTTGGAATTGGCGTTTCTTTTAAATTGCTTGTGGTTTGTATGAGTTCGACTGATATTAAAGCCGATACGAGTGCATAGTGTATTTGAGTGAAAAATATGCAATTGTGAGACAATTGCTTGATTGGGATACTCCCTTTCTGCAACGCCAGCCCTCCTTTTCGATCCCGTCACGTTGTGCGCGCCTCCTTCTCGCTTGATCACCCTCTCTTCATGATGGCACAGTGCATGTGCTGCTATGACCAAGTACTTCTAGTGTACTAGTACTCCAGTATACTCGTAGATCCGTATTGAAAAAAGAGCAGACAAACATAGACTCGGCCTTGGCTTGCCTCTGTGCACGCTTCTGGTTCACCATCTGCCTGATGTGACTAAACTCTGTATGCAGGCGGCGGTCGTGGACGGGTGTACACCGGTACACCAGGTGTGAACGCTGTCCTCCGTACTAGTCACTATGCCAAACGGCGGGCCCAATATTGGAGGTATTGCAGCTGTGGAGAACCGCGCTGCTGCACTTCGAGGAAGACATCGTGCTAGTCTCTGGAGATGCAAGCAGAAGGGGTTTTGCCATGCAGCCTCGTTCGTCGTTGAGCCGCAGTGGCGCATGCCGTCTTTAGACTTGCGACATTCATACCAGGTCGGAGCAATCCTTCATTTCTCCGGCCCACCGGTTGCAAACATAGCATCTTGGCATCGAAAGGCGTGTGTTTTGATGGTACAGCTGCAAACTGAGGGATTTTCTCACAAAGATCCAGCCCGCGCATTTCATGCATCCATATCTACGAGTATCATGCACAAGTACAACCGAACTCTGAGCTGCATTTTCGCTTTTGCAACGTCCAACACCATGCCGGGTCCCCTACTCCTCACCTCCGAAGTTCACGTTCCGACGCAGACCGCGTGGCTCGCACCGCCGTCGTCGGCGCTGATTCTTGACCACCGCAAGGCCGATATCGTGGCCTCGCGCCATTGGCAGACATGCCGGGGCGCGTCACCGACGCTGACCTACTCGATGCAATTCGATGCCATTGGCTGCCGCCACATTGTCCTCGGTGTCTCGGGTCAGTGCTGCTCGCGCCTCGCCGACGTCGTTGGCATCGACTTTGACGTGCGCACGGGCGCTGTGCTCTGGACTTCAGAGCGCAACGTTCACTACGAGACCGACGCGGCGTACACGTACGAGTGGGGTGCGTCTGACGCGCACATCGTCACGGTCGAGCATGATGTGTCGGCGCACGAACTCCGCTTCTTCATGAACGGCATGTCCATGGGCATTGTGCTTCGGGACGTGCCCGAGTCGTGTACGTACCCAGCCATGGCGCTCCGAGGCGCACTGCAGCCCAACGCGACCACGATCGTGCGGCTAGTCGAAAACCCGCCCAACAATTCCCAAGTACTAGTATTTTTCTATGATAATTTACGTATTTTTCTGTGATTATAATGCGCGTTCTGGAAGGTTAGCGAGCGACGTGTGGCATACGTGAGGCACGGGTACTCGACATTGGGTACTCGAAGGAAATTGCAGCGCACGATGCACCCCGTCGTCCCTCGTTGCTTGAAGTTGATGGTCGAAGGCGCGAGAAACGGTCCTTGAAGTTGAAGTTGGTGGGACACCAAAGGTAACGACGGGTCGCGGAATTCGCGTTGGGTCCATCTAAAATCGAAGGTGGTCAAGTAACATCGTACGAGGCTAGTATTGGACTCGCCTTTCCCACTTTGCACTTTGCGATTATCCTTCTCCTACAAAACCATGCCTGTCTTCCCGGTGTCTCCGACCAGCATGTGCAAGGTCGTCGACCTCAGCTCCGCGGTGCCCACCAAGGCGGCGGCCCAGTGGCAACCAACAAGTCCGACGGCAACAACCCAGTTGACTGTCGCCGCCACCAAGCAGTGGCAAGCCTTCCGCAGTGCCACGCCGTCGACCGACTACACGGTTGAGTTTCAGTCGCTTGGCTGCCGCTACCTCGTACTCGGGTTGAGCGCCGAGCCGTGCGCACGCCAGAGCGATGTCATCGGTGTTCAATTCGACATTCGCACCGGCGCCGTGCTCAGGTCGTCCGAGCAGTTGGTCGATTTTGCGTCCGACGCCGCGTACTCGGTCGAGTGGCAAGCTAACGACGAGCTCGTCGTCCACGTCCAGCTAAATGCAAAGACGCGCGCCTTGAGCTACTTTGTCAACGGCCGTGCGATTGGCGTGACCCTTCGCAATATGCCTGCCGCATGCGTGTACCCAGCCGTCGCGCTTCGAGGCGCGGCCCTCGACGCGTCCGTGACCGAGCTCACGCTGCGATAAGTGGCACCAAACCTTGTAGCACTATAAAATTATCCTAAAACGACAATAAACACACAATATATCCCTGTGAGATTCTGCATATTAGAAGGCTCTCACAGAGTGCTGTATCCTATTCAAGTCCTATCCACTGTAGCGCCCGATGAGCGATGGCGGCGGCAGCGCGTCCATGATCTCGGGGTGCGCGATCATGTAGGCTTCAATCGTCGTCTTGCGGTCGCCCAGAAATGAATGCTTCAAGAAATCGACGTGGACTTGCTACTCGATAGCATCAGTCACCCTGAACCGCTCGTTGGTGACGAGTGTACCTCGCCGAGCTTGGCGACCGATAGGAGGCAGTGGCGGAGGTAGACCTACGCAATTCGCTGCTTTCTGTCGTATCTACAGGTGACGTACCCGGCACGGAAGAATGCCGCTCTCGGGACCCCAGCCCCAGATCGTGTCGAGACCAAACTGCCCGTAGCGCTCGTCAAAGAAGGCTTGACCACTACGATAGCACCAGCCTTTGAATTGCAGCGCATGCGAGAACGTACTTGGCTTGGACCACCGCCTCGTCGGTCCAGCGAAGGCACATGAGCGCCTTGTCTCTCGAGCCGTCCGTCTCTTCGTACTCGACTGGCTGGATGTCGTAGAGGTGCTCCCGGCGGCGAAACGATACCACTTGGTCTTCTGGCACTTCGAAGACACTCACGATAAAGCTGCTGCCCGGACTTGGCTCGACGCAGAGGCACGCAAACTCCTACGTGACGTCAAGCTACGGGTATCGTCGATGCTGCACCTTTGTCGTGGGGTTGGCAACCTTCTCGGGGAAGAAGATTGAGCCTGGCAGCGCGAAGACGCGGCGGTAGCCATGCACACGGCCAAGGCGGAAGCGCTGCATCGTCGCGCCAAAGGTCGACCGCGCCGACGTCTCGGAGAGGAGCGACCCGTACCCGAGGATCTTGACCATCGCCATCGTGGTCGACTTCCGAAATGCGATTTATCCGCGATGCCACGTATGCGTCTTGAAATATATTCATATATAAAGGCTATGGATTGTGAGAGTGAATATTCTTGTGACCGATGCTTGGAGCGTCGAGTTCCACCAGGACATCGGAACTCTTGCCCAGCCATTCGTTGACATTAGTGTCGGTCGATCGTAATATTGAGCTTTACATGTGAGCCCTATATTGTACTCGAACCAACGCAGTCTCACAGTCTCAAAATGGGATGCCGATGCAGCCACCAAAATGCTCACCACGACAACGTAGTCCACTGTGCCCACTTGATTTTCAACGGAATAAGATTTTGGTTGCATTCACAGTATTGGAGACGCGGATAGCCCTACGCAGCAGCGCAGAGCTACCCGCTGTAGCGACTCGCCAAGTGGGGCGGTGGCAGCTCGTGCATAATGTCCGGGTGCTGGGCCAAGTACGTCTTGATCGTCGTCTTGCGGTCGCTCAGGTACGTGTTCTTGACAAAGTCGTCGTAAACCGCCTAGTATGCGTCGTCCGAGCCACTCGCAGAAGGGTATGGTCGCACCTCGCCCAATTTTTCGACCGCAAGAATGCAGTGCCGCATGTACACCTGTACAATCTCACATTATTAACCGCATTGCAGGCGCGTGGTTGTACCCGGCACGGCAGGATGCCGCTGTCGTGGCCAAAGCCCCAGATCGTGTCGAGGCCATACGCTGTGTAGAGCTTGTCAAACTCGTCTTGGCCGCTACGTGCATACTAGTACTCGGCATCACATATTGTCGCAAGCGTACCGTGCAACAATGTACTCGGCGTCCGTCCAGCGGCAGCACATCAAGCCCGTGTTGATGCGGCCATTGACTTCTTCAAACTCGACGGTCTCGATTTTGAACTCTTCTTCGCGGGCATAGAAGCCCATGAGCTGGTCCTCGGGGATCTCAAACACCGAAATCGTAAACGAGCACCCGTCGCACGGCTCGGCCGAGAGGCTGGCCATCTCCTACGACGACGCTGTCCGCTAGAGCTGGTCGGCGCAGGAGGTACCTTGGTCTCGAGGCGCGCAATGTTGCGCTGGAAAAAGATGGACGCGGGGTGCGCAAAGACGCGTCGGTAGTTCTTGACGCGTGCGAGGCGGAAGCGGCTCACGTGGTGGCCAAAGGTCGACCGCGCCGAGAGCTCTGAGAGCAACGAGCCGTACCCGATGATGTTGACCATGCCACTTGCCGACTGATCATCCGGATATTTGTCAATTTTTATCCGGAATCCACTCAGATCTGAAATGGGTGTTGTGGCAAAATGGAGCAACTCAGCCGAGTCCCTTGGTGACGTAGAACAGGCCGCCAACAACGCACAGATGCGTCGGCAGTAACACACGCCCTTCGACCGGTAGCCGAGGCAGTGCACGACATGTGAGAACGGACAAGATCAATAGCCGCCACGACCACAAGGTAGTCCCCGCGTTGATGCGCCAACTTTCGGGCTGCGAGCAGCTCCGTACGCCACAGGGCGTGGCCTCGCCTATGGCGTGTACCCGTGGCGATAGACAATATGTCCATAATGTGTTCAAAAAGACTAGTAACAGATTAGCCGTCCCTGAATTACGCCTGGCAAAAGATGGTGCCGCCGTTGTTGCGCGGCATCGGCGGCGGCGGCGGCACGTCGCCGTTGATCTTCTTGCAGTAGCACGTGCCCAAGGGGTTGGTCGGCTGCGCCATGTTGCCGGTCGGGCCGAGGTACCACGCAAATGCGTTGGCGTTGCCATTCGTCATGCACTTGGCGCAGTCCTGGAACGACCCCTGGAAGTTGTTGACGTCGCCCGAGTACGGCACGTCGTAGTTGCCGTAGCAGACCTTGTACGTGTACGGGACTGCTGCGACGGCGCTGAGGTCCACGGCCTTGCTCCACACGGGATAGTAGTTGTTGGCCACGCTTTGCAGGACGCACGTCTGGCTGTACCGCGTGTACGAGACAGCGGCGCAGCCGACCGTGCTCAAGCAAGACACTTCACACGACTCGAGCGACGAGACGCCGCCCTTGGTCACCATGGCCGGGCCTTGAAACTGGTACCCCGGGTTCTCGACCCACTTGGACGACGACGGCAGCTTGGGTTCCTCCTTGCACGACTTGGTGACGCGGGGCGCGACGTTGAAGGCGCGGCTCGGGTCGACGAGCTGCTTCATGTAGCACATGCCCTGCGGCCCGTCGTTGTCCTTGACCCAGGCAAAGGCGTTGCACCCTGGGTTGCGCTTGCACGTGTCCATGCACCCGTCAAAGCCCGTATGGCTGTCGGCAATGTCCGAGCCGACAAGGTCCGAGTTGGTCGCGCACACAAAGTTGCGGACCGGCGCGCGGTTGCCGGGCTGGCACATGGAGAAGGTTCCGTCGTCCACCGGCTTGCAGAAGAAGCCACTGTTGCAGTCTTGCTCCATCAAGCACGGCTTGAACTGCTGCTGGCGCAAGTTGGCGGCGCCGAGGACCGACGCGATCGAGGCGAATGCAGCGAGGAGCTTCATACGGCCAATTGAAAAATGAAGGACGACTACGATGGCGAGCTAGCGACTGCTATCAGTGGACCCGGCAGCTGCCCGATGGATGTGTTGGGCGCTGCGACGGCGTGCGACTCAACGCTCAGTATGCTCGCACCGATGTTGGCCACACGAATTCAAATGATCGCAAGATCCTGAAAAAGATATGGCGACCGAACGTTGAAGTTGGTGAACCGGGTGGAATGACTATCAGTGCAGTGGCAAAGCAGCCGCACGAGACTGTCACGAGCAACGACTGCGTCAATGACACCGAGAGCCGTGCTGTAGAGACCAGCACGACGTTATGGCCGCGCTGCAGTCGCTGCTCGTGCAGCAACGGCGACAGAAGACGGTCGCGCCGGCTCCGAGTTGGGCGACGACGTAGTGTACGAGACATGTGCGAAGGGTAGCACTTGCACTTTCTGACAAATCTAAGGCTTCGTTCGGTTCGCGGCAATTATTTTTTAATCGATTATCGAAATCGCCATTATTAATGATTGCGTAAATGAGAATTGGGTTTGCAGGTCCATTATCGACCAAATCTCGTTCGGTTCGCCAAGAGCAATTATTCCACGCTCATCAAGGACTCGGTCCTTGGTGAAAGCCAGGTCAAACGACTGGCGGCAGGCGTGCCAGCCATCGATCGTCCAAGTACTGGGTCCACGGGGTGGAGGCAACGCAGTCACGCGTGACCACGGTTGCATTGCACTAGCTCTTGCGCTCGGAGTCATGCCATATCGGTGTGTGCGATCGTCCAGAGACTAGCCCTCGTCGTCGACTTAAGCGTGCTGAAAGCGCTCCCGCCCATCGGCGTGCGTCTTGTTGGTCATGATGTAGAGAGCCATGAGCAACACTTATGTCCTGCGCCAACCTTGCGACCACTAGATACAGTAGACGAAGACCTCACTCCTCCACGCGCGCAATAAGATCGAGATCGCTGCATGGGCCCTGCCCGCAACCTGCGCCCAGCGCACCTCGCTACAAGCCTCGAGTAGCTCGCAGTAGACGTGGTCTCTGTCTGGATGGATGAAGGACATGAGATGGGTTCATGGAGGAGCGCAACGAGTACATGCCGCCATGGCCGCTGCGCTTCGTGACGACCTTGCTTGCATGACGACAAATGAAGAATGAGTCGAATGGAAGAAACGCGTGGCTGTCAGAGACTACCTTTTTTCAGGCCTAATCAGCGAGGCTTTGTTTCGGATAATCCTAAAACCAAGCAATAATGAACCAGAAATTCCTCAGACCCCAATTTTTGAATAACGGCGTTATGAGCGCTTATTCCAAAAATCCTACCGAACGCTATCAATTATCACGATAATCGATTATTCCAAAAATAATCGTGGATGGGGTCTATAATGGCGAAATAAGTCCATTATTGGCCAACCGAACGAAGCCTAAATTTTTGTCAGTGGACCAGCCTCCAACCCCAACCAACCGCTACAGCTTGTCGTACGAGCAAG